TCGGCTAGAAGGGTCTCAGAGTTACACGCTTTGTCCTCGGAGCCACTGTACATGGTGTTCTCCAGGGACAGGGTGACCCTACGCCCACACCTGGCTTTCCAACCCAAGGTGGTGTCTCTGTTCCACATATCTCAGGAGATCTACCTCCCAGTGTTCTACCTGAAACCTCATGCAGGGGGGAAAGAACAGGCACTACACACGCTACATGTCAGGAGAGCACTGGCATTTTATTTGGATAGGACAAGGCAATTTCGTAAGTCCACGCTGCTCTTTGTCTTGACTGCGGAGAGAATGTAGGGTTGGCGTCAGCTCAGTGTCTCTCCTCGTGGATCACCGCATGCATCAGAGCATGCTACAACCTACAGGGGAAACCAGTGCCCCATATCACGGCCCACTCGACCAGAGCCTGTGCGTCATCAACAGCATTCTTGGCTCAGGTGCCAATTTTGGATATCTGTAGGGTGGCCATGTGGTCATCAGTACACACGTTCACAACACATTATGCAATCACACAGCAAGCTAGGCAGGACGCTGCAGTGGGGACAGCTGTGTTGCAATCAATCTCAGTCTAGACTTCCGACCCCACCTCCATGGTTATGGCTTGGGAATCACCTAGTGGAATGGACATAAGCAAGCACTCGAAGAGGAAAAGATGATTACTTACCTCGTAACTGTTGTTCTTTTGGATGTGTTGCTTATGTCCATTCCAATCCCTCCCGCCTCCCCTTCATTGGATTATCCGGCAAGAAGGAACTGAGCAGGGCTGGGGCCAGCAGAGGCATATATACATGGCTATACTGGTGCCACTCTAGGGGGCTCCCTGGCTGGCCCAACGGGTACTGCTAAGGGTAAAAAAGTTCTGGCAGTCATGCACACAGCGCGTGCACACCTAGTGGAATGGACATAAGCAACACATCTCAAAGAGCAACAGTTATGAGGTAAGTAACCGTCTTTTCTCCTTTTTTATAGATAGCACTCTATTTGCCCTTCCCAGTTTTCTGGAATGTCTGTTGTATTCCGTGACTTTTCAAAGATAATAGCTCAGATATCTCCTCAGTCAGCTCCTTGAGTATTCTAGGATGCATTTCACCAAGCCCTGTTGACTTGAACACAAATAACTTTTCTAAAGTGATTTTTTTACTTGTTCTTTTCCTATTTTAGCTTCTGGACTTACTACAATTTCACTGTCATTCATTATGGTAGGCATCCAGTCACCACCAATCTTCTTGGATGAAACTAAGAAATCATTAAGCACCTCTGAGATTTCCACATTATCTGTTATTTCTTTCCTCTCATTATTGAGTAATGGACCTATCATTTCCTTGGTCTTCCTCCTGCTTCTAATACTAATATATTAGAAGGAAGAGGAAAACCAAGCAGAGTAAATAAAGTATAATTGTTTCTGTGTTACATATGTGGAAACTGAGGCTCTGGCTATGTCTACACTGGCAGGTTCTTGCGCAAGAACTGCTGTTCTTCTGCAGAGCCTCCACACTGCATGCCTGCTCTTGCGCAAGAAGTTTTACAGTAAAGCGTGGTAAGAGAGGGCTTCTTGCACAAGAGCTACGCTCTTTTCTAACAAGTGTAAGCCCTGCAAGAGCTCTTGCGTAAGAGGGCAGTGTGGACACGCAGCAGGGGTTTCTTGTGCAAGAAAGCCCTATGTTTAAAATGGCCATCAGAGCTTTCTTGCACAAGACAGCATCCACACTGCTATGGATGCTCTTGCACAAAACCACATGGCAGCATGGATGTGTTCTTGCGCAAGAGTTCTTGCACAAGAACCCTTGCACAAGATGGTCTTGTACAAGAACCCGCCAGTGTAGACAGAGCCATCATGTTTGCATGACAGAAACAACATTAGAACATAGATCTCCCAGTCCAGTTCCATACCCATTAGTTCAAGCCATCTCAAAAAATTATTTATTTCCAGAGATACTAATTGTCGAGGCATCTGTACTGTAGAGAGTTATAAATGTAGGCAGTAGATGTGGCAATGATAGATAGCCTATGACTTGGCCATTTTCAAAGTAATAGGGGACAAGTGGAAGAGGGAAAGGAAACACAGGAAATCAAATATAAATCTAGCATTCATTGTTGTAGCTTATGTCCATTCCAGGATAAGACAAGATGAGCGAGGTAATATTTTTATTGGCCCAACTTCTGTAGGTGAGAGAGATCTGCTACTGGATTTAGAGAGAGACATGGTGGGTGAAATAATATCTTTTATTGGATCAACTTCTGTTGGTGAGAGACAACCTTTCGAGCTCTACAGAGCTATGCCTCAGGTCTGGAAGCCCAGCTTGAAAGGTTGTCTCTCTCATCAACAGAAGTTGATCCAGTAAAAGATATTATTTCACCCACCATGTGTGTCTCTAAATCCAGCAGCAAATCTTTCTCCTCCCTCAACATCTATGTGCATTAAAGCCTGTCTTTTTCCTTTGATAATTTACACATCTGGACTTGAGTTTAGTGTTAAACATATGTTGTACAAACCTATTCATCTAACATTTTCTGAACTCCCAAATCCCAGAAATTCATCATGTTTACAAGCCCAAAGTTTAAGCTTTTTGGAGATAAATATCATGCTAGTTATTTACTTTAACATATGATGATCAAATTATGTGTGTGACATAAACATTTGGAATTTTAAAATGGATGCGTAGGTGTTTGAACCTGAAAATTAGAGGCATATATATTCTTGCATGTAATTTTGCATATTGACATGTGGAAACTGCAGATAAATTGAAGGGATGAAAATGTCACCCTCAATGTGCAAAGTATGGTTACTCTTTTGGAATTTTTAATCCAAATCTGTTCCAAATTGTATATATCTCAATTATTTACTAAATTTAGGCTAGCGTAATGTATTTAATGTTTGGTTAAGGATAGACACAAAACCAGTTTTAAACTGTTGACAAAAACTCAGATTTTTGGTCTCAAATGATACCTGGGATTTTTAACTCCAGAACTCCAAAATTGCAAAATAGGTAAGGGAGTGGGAGTAAAGAGCATTAATGATGGATTTAGCTTAAATTGGAAAGTTTATTTCTATTGCTATGATGTCTTAGCAACCTATAGGATTGAGAGGCAGTGTTAGCAGTTCTCAAGATAACTTCAGGATAAGTCTTGGACATATTCAGAGTGTCAGGAATTGTCATTAGTAATAGCAAATTTAACTGGGATGGCATTTGAGGGCGGGGGGCTGGACTCGATGACCTCTCGAGGTCCCTTCCAGTCCTATTATTCTATGATTCTATGATTTTTAAATTGTTCAGTTACTGTTTCATAAAAGACATTAAATAGCTCCATGCTAAGATTATAACAGTACAGAGGTTTGTCCATGACATATTTTTCTAAAATATGGACTGTTCTTTCAGAATAATGTCAGTTATTCCAAAATGACTCTGCTGTGTAGACATAGCCTTACTGAAATATGTGCATCAAAAACAGCACATATTAGAAATTAATGAAAAACGGCAGTTATTTTTGTAAATGTTTGTTAAAAGATACAGATCAACTGTGTTGCCATTGCAAATGACATAAGAAAGAAAGATTTTAATAGTCACTTTACTAAGATAAAAAAGTTTTTTTTTTTTTAAAGAAAGTACTCCATAATTGTTATACTATAGCTATGTTTCCCACAATTGAGTCCCTTCCCTGCAAGCCTCTTCCTTCTTGTTCTCTTCTAGGCTACGTCTACACTGGCATGATTTTCCGAAAATGCTTTTAACGGAAAACTTTTCCGTTAAAAGCATTTTCGGAAAATCATGCCAGTGTAGACGTAGCCTAGAAGAGAACAAGAAGGAAGAGGCTTGCAGGGAAGGGACTCAATTGTGGGAAACATAGCTATAGTATAACAATTATGGAGTACTTTCTTTAAAAAAAAAAAAACTTTTTTATCTTAGTAAAGTGACTATTAAAATCTTTCTTTCTTATGTCATTTGCAATGGCAACACAGTTGATCTGTATCTTTTAACAAACATTTACAAAAATAACTGCCGTTTTTCATTAATTTCTAATATGTGCTGTTTTTGATGCACATATTTCAGTAAGGCTATGTCTACACAGCAGAGTCATTTTGGAATAACTGACATTATTCTGAAAGAACATGGTCCACATCTATGCTACAAGCAGTTATTTCAACATAATGTCAAAATAATGTCGAGCTGGAGAACTTCTTATTCCAACTCCTGTAGCCCTCATTTTATGAGGAGTAAGAGAAGTCAGAAGAAGAGTGCTCCTTCTCGGACTTCCTGCTGTATAGACAGCACCAAAAGTCAAAATAAGCTTTTTCGGTTTAAGCTACGCAATTGACATAGCTCAAGTTGTTACGTCAGCTTTGGCCCTGCTGTGTAGATGTACCCTAAATGAATTGAATACACTCTATTGCAATAACAAAATTATTTGATTGAAATATTGCCAATGGAATTCTGCTTGAAAACATATTGTATGCCCATATTGTATGCAGTGTTGTTGTAGCTATGTCGATCCCAGGACACTAGAGAGACAAGGTGAGTGAGGTAATATCGTTTATTGGATCAGCTTCTGCTGATGAGGGAGACAAGCTTTCGAGCTTACACAGAGCTCTTGCTTGTCATTCCGGCTCCAGTATTAACAGTTAAATATAAAATAAAATGGTTATTTTGGATATGTCAGAAAACCAGCATGGCAAACGTTCAAATCCTGTTATAAAGTTATAAAGACTTCAAATTGCTGAGCTACTGCTTCATTATATATTTTCCACAGCTCTGAAAGTGAATCTGGCTCACAAAGTGCATGTGATCAGCTTGTAACTCCTACAGCATTAGCAGCCTGTACCAGAGTTGACTCCTGTTTTACTGCTTGGTTTGTGCCTTCACTTGGTGTTTCAGTCCAATTTGCTCATTTGGAACTCCATCTCTGCCATCATCTTGATCAGCTGGGCACAGGTTTGTACCTCTTACCTCATAATAATAAAAACACTTAATTATGATTTATTATCATTTAGCCTTTTATGTCCCAATTTCTTATTCAAACAGCAAGCAATATGAAAAATCACTACTAGGATAGGTCATTGGTAAACACTTCAGTGCGAACTCACAACTTCTGTTCTGTGTGCGTTGATAGAGGACATTCCCAAACCAGTGTGACTGACCGATCCGCTTCACTTTGTCCCTTGGGATTGAGTGATTGTATGTGCAAGTAGTTCAGTTTTCTGAGCTCTGACTAGTGATAGCAGGTGCCAGTTCACTCTCAAGCCAACATATAGAACCAATTCAACTTTTAAACTTTTCAGCATATTTACATTATTGTTGAAATATACGACAATTTTGCAGTCTCTTTAGTAAGGTTTCCTTGGTAAAGCAACTACAAATATAATTAAATATAAAAATGAATGTTTTTGTCCAATGCTTTTTATCATTGCATTAAAATCAAATACATTCCAAGAGATCTTTAGATTATTGTATGCTTTCATATGCCAAGAATGCTTTCCTTGGAATACAAACAGATACCTAACATACTTTTTAAAAGAGCTGCTTTTTTCATTAGTAGTTGTGGTTTTTTGCAAAATTAAAATATACTCATTATCATATTTTATTTACATTAATTCTCAAAGTCTAATAAAATAATTGCACACCAGTTAGCCCTGTACAGTTCTGAAATGTTCTAATCATTATATTCCAATTCCAGTTACTGGAGCTGTGGAATTACACATAATGGAAAAAGCAACACTCAGATTAAAATCAAACACAGCTGTTAGATTTTTCCATAACAACTGAGTTCATGCTGGTGCTCTTATCTTTATTACACTTAAAAATGCCAGTCAGTATTGGGGTTTACTGTGTTAGGTGCTATACAGAGTACAAAACTTATTTTTGAAAGCTAACAGAGCTTGATTGTGCAAAAGGTTCCTGTGCAGCAAAGCATTTCAGCATATGCTAATTTTGAGTGTGTGAGTAGTCTTGCTGACATAAATAATAACAACTTCAACATGTTTATTCACATTTACTCACACGCTTAATATTAAACAAGTGTTTAGGTGCTTTGCTGAATCTGGGCCAGGATCAAGCCTTTAATGAACCACATCAAACCCTTTTTGCATATTTCTCAATTTTGGAGTTTCAGGATTATGTTTTGGTTTGTTTTTAATTTTTGGGTGATTATATTGTGTTGAAAGGGAGCATATACTTGTGGTTTTTGAATGCTCTGCTAATCAGATCTAGAAGAGAAATTCCATTACAAAAACTGGTTAGTCTATAGCATGGCAGTTCAGTAAGTATGACAGAGTCCCTAATATTCATTAATTATACAGGCTCAGAAATGTATATGGCATGTTACATACATATACCCCCTAAACATACAGAACTGACAATAATATGTTCCCTTCACAAAATGAGTTCACAATGTAAGCCACCAAATCTACATACAGGCAGTCCCCGGGTTACGTACAAGATAGGGACTGTAGGTTTGTTCTTAAGTTGAATCTGTATGTAAGTCGGAACTGGCGTCCAGATTCAGACACTGCTGAAACTGACCGCCAGTTCTGACTTACATACAGAATCAACTTAAGAACCCCAGGCGTCCCCAAGTCAGCTGCTGCTGAAACTGATCAGCAGCTGATTCCAGGAAGCCCGGGGCAGAGCAACTCTGCTGGCACCGGAGCAGCGAGAAAGCCCCGTTCGTAAGTGCGGATCCGACGTAAGTCGGATCCGCGTAAGTCGGGGACTGCCTGTATATGCAATAACATGTCACTTACTTTTGAGATATTTTCTGCAATCTGGTAGCTAAATATTTATTTAGTTTTAATTTATTTATTCTTCTTTGAAAACCATGTTCTTTCGAAATCAGTTCACCTTATCGATAATTTTAAGTTCTGCTAGTGATTAAATTTGTATCTAGTTAAAGGGATGGGGACCTATGGCCCAGCATGCGGCATGTCTTGATCCGGCCCACGAGGCTTGGGCTCTCTCTTCCCACAACAGAGCAAGCCAGAGCTGGCTTGTCCTGCTATGGAGTCCGGAATCCCAAGCGTAACAGGCTGGATCAATGCAAGTTACAGGCTGCATCGGGCCCACGGGCTCTGCCTAGCAGGGGAGAGGAAGTGGTTCTTCATTCTGATGTCATCCCCTACTCCCTCTGGCTGGGGAAATGGCAGCTCAGAGAAGCTCTGGTCATGTGCTCACATGCGGTTCTACCACAGGGGAATGGTCAGAGGCCATCTGGGGGACCACCAGCCATGCAACTCCTCCCCCAACACAGGGAAGGGTCAGGACCATTCCTCTTCACCTCTGCTCTACTCTTCCCTCTCTTGCGCTGTCCTCTCCCTGCCTCTCCTCTTCCCCCCAACCAAAGCAGCGCCGTGGACCAGCAGGGCTGGTGTCAGCAGTAAAGGTCCAGTCCCCCGCCCTCCTCTGCACTCGTCAGCAGAAGCAGGGGAAGTGGAACAAGGTAGCCCCAGCTGCTTTTCTCTCCCAACTACATCCATTTTCTGCTGGAAAGTGTGGGACAATCCTGCCTTCTTCCCTGGAGCAGTGTGCTGGGAGAGCAAAGCATCCAGAGGCGCGGGGAAACCGCCGCTGCTGCCGCTTCAGTCAAAGCCTCAGAAGCGCGGGAACCCGCCCGGTGCCCCTGGTCTGCTGGAGACGGTCTCCAGCAGACCAGGGGCACCGGAGCAGCTTACGAACGGGGCTTTCTCGCCCCGACTTCCGGGGCGAGAAAGCTCCGTTCGTAAGTGCGGATCCGACATAAGTCGGATCCGCCTAAGTCGGGGACTGCCTGTAGTATGGTGTGCTGGTACAGGAATCTGCCCGCACTTCACAAAATGTAGGAATAGAGCCTAAAACTGGACTTAACAACAGAAACCTAAAGACACGCTAGGACTAGAATCATAGAATAATGGGACTGGAAGGGAACTCAAGAGGTCATCGAGTCCAGCCCTTCGCCCTCAAGGCAGGACCAAGCTCCGTCTACACCATCCCTGACAGATGTCTATCTAACCTGTTCTTAAATATCTCCAGAGAGGCAGATTCCACCACTTCCCTTGGCAATTTATTCCAATATTTGACCACCCTGACAGTTAGGAATTTTTTCCTAATGTCCAATCTAAACCTCCCCTGCTGCACTTTAAGCCCATTACTCCTTGTCCTGTCCTCAGAAACCAAGAGGAACAAATTTTCTCCTTCCTCCTTGTGACACCCTTTTAGATATTTGAAAACCGCTATCATGTCCCCCCTTAATCTTCTTTTTTCCAAACTAAACAAGCCCAGTTCATGAAGCCTGGCTTCATAGGTCATGTTCTCTAGACCTTTAATCATTCTTGTCGCTCTTCTCTGTACCCTTTCCAATTTCTCCACATCTTTCTTGAAATGTGGTGCCCAGAACTGGACACAGTACTCCAGCTGAGGCCTAACTAGTGCAGAGTAGAGCGGCAGAATGACTTCATGAGTTTTGCTTACCACACACCTGTTGATACAACCTAGAATCATATTTGCTTTTTTTGCAACAGTATCACACTGTTGACTCATATTCAACTTGTGGTCCACTATGACCCCTAGATCCCTTTCTGCCATGCTCCTTCCTAGACAGTCGCTTCCCATCTTGTATGTATGGAACTGATTGTTCCTTCCTAAGTGGAGCACTTTGCATTTCTCTTTATTAAACCTCATCCTGTTTACCTCTGACCATTTCTCTAACTTGCTAAGGTCATTTTGAATTATGTCCCTATCCTCCAAAAAAGTTGCAACCCCACCGAGTTTGGTATCATCTGCAAACTTAATAAGCGTACTCTCTATCCCAATATCTACATCATTGATGAAGATATTGAACTAAAAGTAACATATGTAAGATTATTTGATTGCTTATGGATATATCTGGATGCATTTCATTTTTATGTACATTTTATTTGTAGTGTATAACATTGGTAACCATAGTTATATTTTTTGTTTAATAAATACTGTGCACTATCACCAATAGTTTTAAATTTCAGATATTTAAGCTATCCTATTTATCTCATGTATTTGCATCATATGAAAAGCTCCTCACAGTAAAAAAATAAAATTGGAAAGCATGTTATTGTAGCTTGACTGCAGTGTTGATGCCCTAATTCAGTTGTATATTTTCTTTAATTTCACAGCACCACCCAGGTTCCTTCAACCATTTACCTCTGATAAAAATGTTCCATCTGAACTAGAATACATGGTAGTTTCCTTCAAAGAGCCCCACATATATCTCCGGCAGTGGAGTGATGAATCAGTCTTCAAGGAGATCCAGTTTTCTGCATGGGCTGACTGTAAACTTTTGGAGTGTCGAAATGTTACTATGCAGAATGTCGTGAAGCCTTTCAAAATCTGTGGGCAGATTGCCATTTCTAGTAATACAGCAGAAAAGTTACTGGACTGCACTGTCATGGTGGACCCTATTTTCGTAAACTTTGGGCAATATGCAGTTCATTCGATGAATACAGCGCTTCAAGCTTGGCAACAGGTATGCAAATATGGTAACTTGAAAAAAGTTATGTTCTGGCTATTTGGATTCACTTAAATCCAAGTAGTTATTAACTAAATATGTTAATAATAGTTAAAAATGTAAAAGACTTTTACGGACAAAGTCCTCCTAGTATTGAACATTAATTCAATCTAGCAGAGAAAATTAGGAGATCACAGCCCACACTGTGGTCTGTTCAATTTGAGTAAATCCAGGCTAACAGCTTAAACTTCAGTGGAGTGACAATGATTTATATTGATATAACAGTGATCAGAATCTATCCCAGTGGATCTTTGAAATACAAAATATTCAGTTAATATATTAAAAAGTGGATGATGTATGATATGCAAGACAAGTTCATTCTTAGTAGACTGACATTTTGTTTCCAACAGCTACTGCTTTTATTCTTATCGAAGTTCAGTAATGGTCTCACATTACATTCTGTATATATAGCGTTAATGGCCGAGACCAAATCTGGTACAAAGCACATTGCTTCTGCAGTGACCTTTCAAAGGTCTATAATGCTCTCAGCCTTGAATGCAAAACATTTTCGTTATCTGTCTAAAGAGGAATATGTTGATTGTGAATTAATTACCTGTAATGACACTACAATAGCAAAGTAAAAAAAAAATCATCTGGTTTATATATATATAAAAATCTTTTAAGGGCAATCCATGATTTGCTTGTTGCAAAAGGACATTCGTAAAACAAGAGCTAGTGTGATTTAAATCTTTACATCTGGTTCAAATACCACTGTGAACAAAGATCTTTGTTGCTCCAATTTCTGTTTTTTATCATATTTTGAACAATGCATTTAATAAAAAACAAACAGAAAAAATACAAGAGTCCTTGATAGCCCAGTTAAACCCAAAATATTTCTGTCTTAGAACCAAAGCCTCATCTAAGATATGTGTGGCAACTACTGCAACATGGCCTTCAGAAAGTTTAGTTCCCTCTTAGGATAAAAAAGTCTCTCATACACAGTTATACATCTAAATAAAATATGGTGTATAAATATTTAAATGTTTTAAACCACATCAAATTGTAAATGGCTAACTGATTACATGGTGCCTTGAAGGAATATTTTGAGTTGAAGAAATGGGCTTGTATATTTGATTAAGTAGAGCCATATGTCGCATAGTATATTGCTGACAGGTACATTCTAAGAATAGTTGGTTCTGATTTATACAAGGCTTTGGCAATGTTAACATGAGCCACAGGAGGATATACTTCTGTAATTGTTGCTGTAATTTTCTCGTTTCCTCTCATGTCAAGGGTACTTGCCACCATGTTCTGATGTGGTGGGTATGTAGCCCTGAGTATTCTAGATTTAAAACTTGCACTACTGTGAAATTAGGGGACGTTTGACACAGAAGTGGGTTCAAAACTGCTTATTAAATAAATTGTTTTCAAGATGTTTTGTATTTGGTTTTACCTCCACAAGGAGGAAAAATTAATTTCCCAATTGTAAGTATTGTTTGATGTACAGAGTTCACATCAAGTAGTATAAATGCTGCCAGCAAGAAACGTGTATAATAAGCAGAAAAAAGTAATTCTCCATGTATTTTTGTAGATTAATATATGATACAGGTCATTTTATATTCCATGGGGATGGGACAGACAGGTGAAGCGTGAAGCAATTTGGCCTTGCTCCTTTAGGTCAAGAGTTGAAGATTAACAGAAGCCTTTGTGCCTGTCTTTGTTTCCTAGATACTGGTTGACTTAATAATGATGAAAGTTTCAAAAGTAGATTAGACCTGAAAAACACCAAGCACATATTTTGCTTTATACTTCTAAGTCACATGCTGACTACTAGAGGGGATATTAGCTCTTTTTTAAAAAAAAATAATGTCCTTTATTTACTTTGTTTCACTGTCTCATCTTTTATAATATGAAATCGCTGTTCAAATACAAGCTGTGACAGTCTAATGCACATCTGAATACAAAGCTAAAGTAAATAAAGTTTTAATTATAAAATTATTGTATAGAGAACATTAAGAGGTTATTATTTAATAATAGAGTATGTGCTGAAACAGAAAATTCATGCTTCCCTTGAATAACGACACAATGTTTTTAGTGTATTTGAACATTTAAACCACTCTGAATTGCTTTAAATCATTTGTGTATCGCTGAAATCCATAGGCAAAGAGTTAGTTTATAAAATAGCTCCACAGGTAAATATTATGTTTTTGTTTTAAGTGTCAACATCCTTTTTGTAGCCTAAATGCTTTTCTGAGCCCCTTACAATTTATTAAACACAATATTAATTTTTTTAAAGATAAGGTAACCAATTGAGTTTTTTCCCACTTAAGGCCAGTTTGAGTCCCAAGATATCTTCCAGTCAAGCAGATATCTATGATCATAACAGTTTCCTTATATATTCACTACAAGGACTAGAAGAAGAAAAGGTATATAGAAAACATGCATATAGCTGCTATTTAAATTCTATTTGATAATGTCAGCCCACAGCAGGCATCTCATAGCTTTGGTTTTGACTGTATCAATCATCAGAGGTTAATTTTCTGTCTTAGAGAAACACTTGGAAAGGATACGTAAAATTACTGAAGTCCTTTAATCAGAACAGCTACATTAAGTAATATATTCAAAAAATTCTTACACAACTGTACAGTAGCTTGCAAAACATACAGAAGATAAGCCTGTACACAGGACCAACTTGTTTATGATTCATTCTCAGCCCCAGCAATACTTTGAAATAATTGTGACCTGAAAGATCTTTCTGGCTATGGTAATTCAAATGAGCACAGAGTCCTGAGACCATGGAAAGCTTGAGGACCAACAGTATATAAAAAAATAGGTTTCCCCTCTGAATTGAATTCACAAAATATTTGAAAGCCCTGTGAAAAAGAGAGACTTTCCAGGCCTCACTGAACAGAAAAAAAAGGCCTAGGAAGAGACTAGGGTAGGCAAAGAGTTGTCTACTAGGAATTAACCCTTGTCCACACCCAGTTTGGGTTGCCAGGTGTCCGGTATTGTCCCGGACAGTCTGGTATTTTCACCTCCTGTCTCGTAAAAAAATTTCAGAAAATACTGGACACCTAAAATGTCTAGTATTTTCTGATTTTTCCTGGCCAGGAGGTGAAAATACCGGGTGCTTACCTGGTTTCGCAGGTTTGACTCGGAGCAGAAAGACAAGATGGAGGATAGCCACCAGCAGCTTGTTAAGGCCAAAAGGGGCCATGCTGTTTTTTTAAAAATTAAGCTCAACAACTCTCAGGGTCCTTTTTTCCTCCTCAACAGAATGTTTTCCCCAGCGAGTTTTTGGTTTTTGGGGTTTTTGGGGGGGGGGGTGTTTGGTATTTTTGGTTAAACCATCTGGCAACCCTACACCCAGTTGAGGATGTTGATCTTTTGTCAATTCCTTTAAATGTTATTTTGATTCAAGAGGGTGTTTTTTTCCCTAACCCCGTCTTCATCCACTGTGCCCCAGAGGTCCTAACATCAACTGAGAGCCAGCCATGTTCTGCTGGAGCAGAATCTTTCATCAGTAATGTGAGATATGGAGGAACCTCATCATCAAAAACTCCGCAAGAGATGTGCTAAAATAGCATTCCCACAAGTCACTCTTAACATCTCCTTCTGTCTAACAGGTGATGTTTTCCTTTGGGGAATCAGTGGCCATGTCTAATTCCCTTTCCAGCAGGTAACAAGTTTCTTGTGCCACTGCAACTCCACTGCAGGTGCAACTTCCCTTTCCAGTGCTTGGGGCCCTGTGCCCTGTGTAATGTGAATAGACTCCAGTATGTCATAGGGCTTAAAATACCACTTGTGTCTGAAACACCTGCTGCTAAAGGCAATAGATGCTGGTAGCACTTCTAGCATTCAATGCTAGTAACTGCTATCAGTATTTGATATTAAATATGGTTAGTGATGTTAGTTCACCCTGGTGGAACAGTGCTTCATGCTGCCCAGGTAGATAAATAAGAGAAATGATGATCTGGGTCTGATGGTTAGGACTCTAACTTCGATTTGGGAGATACAGGTTCAGTTCCCTGCTCCACACAGACTTCCTTTGTGACTTCAGGAAGGTCATGGTGCCTCAGTAATCTCTATATTAAAATGGAATAATAGCACTTCCCTACCTTACTATAGTGTTGTGAGGCTAAATACATTAAAGACTCTGAGGGGCTCAGATACCGTATTGATGGGAGCCATATGACTACCTTAGATATGTAAGTACAATATTAGATCAGGGTCACACACCCGAGGTGTGCAGTCTCGTAGCTTGTGAAGCATCTGTTCTGGCATCTTAAACGTACACTTGCTATGCCAGGCACCAAACAATAATTGTACATGTGCACTAGTGCAAAATTAGTCTTGGCCTATTGCAGTGGTTCCCAATCTGATATTGGGAACCAGTAAACCCATTCACAAGCTTTTGGAGGACTGGTAACATTTATTTGCATATTCATTAAGCAAATATTGAATATGCAAATAAATTTTCTTGTCCTCCCAAAGCCCCCAGTGCCAACTTCAGCAAAGCTTTTGATATGGTCTCTTGCCAGCAAGTTAAGGAAGTATGGATTGGATAAATGGAATGTAAGATGGATAGAAAGCTGGCTAGACTGTTGGGCCCAGGGTTTCCCAAATTTTATATAGTTGGAACCCGATTTTTGTCAGTACCTTTTTTTGCGGCCCAAAAATATAAATGCATATAAATTGGGTTGAGACAGGAGGTGCGGGCTCTGGGGTGTGAATGAGGGATTTAGGTGTAGGAAAGAGGGAGAGGTGCAAGCTCTGGGAGGGAATTTCCGGAGAAAGCCACAGGCTTGTGGATGTGAGGGTGCAGGAGTTTGGGGATGTGAGAGGCTCAGGACAGGGGGTTCCAGCGTATGATAGGCTCAGATTTGGAGTTGGGGTGGGGAGTACAGAAGTGTTATGATGCTGTGGCCAGATGACGACTTGGCCCCAATTGGGAGCTTGTTGGCCAGGCTTCATTTTTAAATAAAATATTGTCAAACACAAGAGGTTTCAGCATCGGCTTTATTTATGAGAGGGGCAGGGAACCTGTTTTGAGTCAGGGGTCACTGGCCCATAGAAAAGTCAGTCAGGGCCACACAAGTGAGATACAAAACCACAAACCCTCCGAACCCCTCAAACCTCACTAATGTGGCCCCAGCTGTGCTTGTGGGTGCTGGAACAGGGTTCTGGGGCAGGGTGCCAATGGGTGCTGGGGCAGGGGACAGGGTGTTTGTGGGTGCAGGGGCAGAGGATAGGGTGCCAGTGGGTTCTGGGGCAGAGTACTTGTGGGAGTCGGGGGAGAGGAGGGAGGACAGGGACCGATACCTGGGGATCCTGTGGTTGCACGCCAAGGCTCAGAAAGTGCGTGGGCTGCTCCCCCATTCCCCAAACAGCGGCGTGGTACCTGAAACGCTGGTCCGTTGCACACCTGATGCCTTCCTGCGGGGGAAGGGGGAGTCCTGGACCGCACCATCCCCAACTGCTGGGGCAGTGCGCACCTTGCTCCTCCGCTCCCCACGGCAGCGCAGACTTCCCGAGCAGCTGGAGCCAGCGCAATCCCAGATCCCCATCCTCTCCCCAGCGCACGATGGATTGGTGTTTTAGGTACCATGCTGACTGTTGGGGCAGGGGGGAGAGCAGCCCACACAATTCTGGGACCTGGTGCGCAGCTGCAGAACTGCCCTGCAGGAAGCCCAAGCTACCTCCATGGTCCCTGGAAGTAGCATCAGTGTGGTCACCCCCCTTCCTGGCCCCAATGCTGGCCACTTTATCAGTCAGCACCAGCTCCCATTCTGCGTCGGTGCACCCGGCCTTCTCTCTGGGTCCTAGCGCCTGCTGGATCTAGCCCCACCGCCCGGAAGCATGCCTGGCAGAGATGCTGCGGGTGGTGGGGTCTCTCCCAAGAATCGTGCATAAATTTTTCTGAGGACCGGTATTTTTTTTCTGAAGACCGGTACTGGGCTGTGGACCACACTTTGGGAAACACTGGCCTATTGGATTATTTTTACACTTCAGTAAATGCATGAAGGTACTCGTCATGGTAATTAAGCATTATAGTAATACTCTGTTAAGAAGAATGAAGCTAAAACTCCTTGTGGCCCTATTTTTTTAGGCTTTCTGGCTGCAGAACCAAGACGACAAATCCAGTGGTTGTTTCCCTGGAGGCCGGGTGGGGGAGGGGAGTTGTATTAATTTAATGAAGTATTAGCTAAGTTGGTCCATAATAACATACTGATTTTTAGATTTTAAATCCTCTCTTTTAAAAGAACATTCCATAAAGCTGATACAAGAAAATGTATGTTTGTGGTAAGTATATGGGTATGGCACTTTGACAATGAGATCCATCACTAGAGAATGCCAAAATAAATTGCTCTCTGAAGTGGCACTGTATACGTCAGCATCTAGTATACTCAAATCAGCTACTGAATACAGTGAATATAGATGCTCTATACTAAGTTTTATTCCTTACAGAAAGGGGGATTTTAACTACTGTTAGCTTGGTTGACTTTTCATGGAAGATATGAAGTATAATGAAAAGAAATTCCTAATGTATTACTAGATTTTCAGAAGAGAGGGGTGTCCAGTTATGCACCTAATTGCTCTCTCAAACCAGATAATTCACTACACAAATGCACTTAATTAGTTGTTTTCATGCTAAGTTACCTACATTGTGCACACACTCACCAAAGGGGCTAAATTTTAACTTTTGATTTGTACTCATGCTGAATTCAATGATAGCCATGAACTCACATCAAAGGCACAGTTTTGCATAATTTAAGCTTAAATTGGGCACACAGTTTGCAAACCTAACTTTCTGAAATTCAGTGGTTTTCTTACTATTGTGACAATAGCAGGTACCAAACTGATCATGGACCATTAGTGGTCTGCAGAGAGCTGTCTGGTCATTTATTTCTGGCACTCTTCCTTCTTCCAGATGGTTTTTCAGGTTTCCAGCCACATTCTTGTCTGAGACATTGGGAAGCTTGTAAAGGTAGCTATAGGAAGAGACAACTTAATTTTTTATTCTAGGGAACTGCTACATAAGACAAGGAGTAGAGGAAATAGAAGTAGCTCTTAATGACTGAAGATACCTGTGAGCCTGAAGCTGCTTGTCAGCAGGAGAAAAAAATCCTAGAAAGGGGAGATGGGAATGGAACAGCTGGACAATATGTTGAGGGGAGAAGGCAGGCAAGCACCAGAGAGAGAGAAGAGCAGAACCAGTGATAGAGAAGCATGTGCCAGGAAAGATGAGTAGAAAATAAATGAAAACCAAAAGTAAACAATGTGATCATTTATATATACTATATCCATATAATTACATAAATAGCATCCTAATATTACTTCCTCATGTAAGCAATTGCTCCATTTGCCACGAGGATGTTATGTGATAGCAAGTGGAAAAGGAGGGGATTGGCACAATGGTGATGAGGGTGCAGAAGAGGAATATGTGAGATGATTTCTCAATGAAACTATGGTTCACACTGAAAACGTTTGAGAGCACTTTGTTACACAAACATGCCATTTAAGGGGTGAAAGAATTACTTAGTTAAGCGATGTCTTGTTTCAGCTGAGCTAAATAGGGTTGCTATATGGTTTCAACAAAAATACCAGACACACTTGACATTACATCACAATCTACATTACATCTTATTTAGAAAATACTGGACATTTATATTTTCTCAATTTGTTTTCCAAACAGAAAGCTCAAATACTGGACTGTCCAGTTTAAATCCGGACACTTGGCAAACCTAGAGCTAAACAGTGCTGTCTCTGATCAGTCTCAGGTTCTAGGATCCCAGTTACAGAGAGTTTGCCTGAGACAGTGGTGCACTGGCCCACCGATAGCAGGATGGGTAGGCAAAGAAGGCAACTGCTCCAGAACCTGGTGATTCAAAAGGGCCTGGTGCTTCTGACCACTACTGCAACTGCAGCAGCAGCACTGGCACCTTGAGTCCTGGGCCCCTTAAATCGCCACTGGAGTACCATGTGACATGCCCCAGACAGCACTAACAGCTGTAGGGGGCAGCAATCTGTGGTCTGGGTGGTGCTCAGGGCTGACTGCCCTCAGCTTCTCCCCTTCCACCTGAGGCCCCACCCATTCTGGGAATGTGGAGTCAGGACACTCCCACACCTTTCCCAAGGGCCTGGCCTGGCTGCCGTCTTACCTGATCGTACCAGCCACTTACAACCTTTACAAGGGACTAATTTGGCATAGTTGTAAGAGCAGCCGAGAAAGTGGGTGTGGATAAAAGCTGGGGTGGACAGGCTATGGAACTCACCGCACCCCAGGCTACATCTAGACTGTAGGCTTCTTGCACAAGAAGCTTTTTGTGGAAGAGATCTTCTCCAAAAACTTTGCGCAAGAGCATGTCCACACCTCAAAAGTGCATCGCAAAAGCGATGCACTTTTGCGCACGAGAGCATCCAGACTGCATGGATGCTCTCTTGCAAGAAAGCTCTGATTGCCATTAAGTGAATGGCCACCAGGGCACCTGTGCTTCTTTCAATAGGCTGTTTTTTCGCAAAAAAACCCCCCTATTTTCCATCCACACACCTTTTTTGCACAGGAGCTCTTATGCAAAAAGGCTTATTCCTCGTAGAAAGAGGAAGAACTATTGCTCAAAAAAAAAACCCTCTCTTCTTTTGGTGTACTGTAAATTTACTTGTGCAAAAACACGCTTGCCGTGTGGGCGCTCCGCGAGATTTTGTGCAAAAGCACTGCAGTCTAGACGTAGCCTCAGGCAGCTTGTGTTGGCATAGTTGCCATGCAGGCCTTGAGTATACTTTTTAGCAGCTCCATCCTGACAAAAATCTCCCTGGGGAAGGGCAGTAGTATTGTTTCCAATTCTTCCTTAGCAGTGAATGCCTCTCCTGGTGCAGGAGATTGTAGTTTGTGCCTGTAGGAGTGAGTAAACCCCCATGACTTAATAATTTATATTGACTGTCATGGAGTCCCATCATGCAAATAGAAAAAGTGGTGGAAAGATGCCCAGAATGCTCTTTGCTCTGCCGTGATTCCTCGGAACTGAAAAGGAGCCAGATACAAAGAGTGGAGGAGGGACTGCTGCATTGAGCGGGGAGTATTTCTGCCGAGTTAAAATGATGTTATGAAAATGCATTAGACAGTTTAATATTTTGAATGTTGAGCTATTAAATTGCATGATGTATTTTCACAAAAGCCCTGTGGATTTGTGGATAGCCTTAGTTGTCATGCTATTTTTGAAGTGTTGCAGCATCACAAGAGAGAGCCTTCTGGGAGGAAGATTTGTTCCAGAACGTTCCACGGCAGCATTTCAAAGTAGAAGAAAAATCTGAGGAGCAGGACACGTGGCTTGTTGGCCTTGCAGATCTTTTATCGAGTTTGGAAGAATAAGAGCATTGCAGTATATTCAACCGCTAATGCATTATCTTCACCATAGTGCGCATTATTTCCAACATATATTAATTTTGCACTAGTCTTTTTTAAAAGTTTGGAGATTCCATTTTCCTTCTAGCTTTGAATGGTTATAATTTACTGCAGAAGAACAAAACTCAAAATACATTCTTGGGGTATACATTTTAGACTCCAGCACTTGTTTCTGCTTATACTGGCAATAGAATACTTTGTAACCATGGCTAATGACAACAGATCTTACAGCATTTTTGTGTTGTAACAATCGCCACTAGGCAGACAGCTGCCAAACATCTTGCAATTAATCTGATGCTTGTTGGCTTTCATATTCTTTTTTCTTTCAGAACCAATGCCCGGAGGCAGAGGAGTTGGTCTTTAGCCATTTTGTGATCTGTAATGACACACAGGAGACACTGCGGTTTGGCCAGGTGGATACTGACGAAAATGTTTTGCTGGCTAGTCTCCACTGTCACCAGTACAGCTGGCGCTCTCACAAGTCCCCACAGGTATGTCAGAAAAGCATTACAAATGCAGCAATTGTTAAAGTTGGCTGGGGCTTCTGTTCATTGATTCTACATTTTTATTCATGTGCTCAGCTATCTTTAGCTTTCTAATTCCATCAGGAGCCACATGCTGAAGCTGTATCAGACATCAGAGATAAACAAAGGGATGAGGAAGTCCAGAAGCGTTTACACATGATTCAAGTTTGGAACTGGACATGCAAACACCCTTCCCAAAGAAAAATTATGTTAATAAAAATTCAAGCTTCTGAACAAAAGGAAAAAAATTAATTTGCCAGGTTTTTAATATGGATTTTCTCAGTGAGTAGATCTTTGGAATCTGTTCTTCACATGGTGTTCACATGAGGAGGCTATATACGATTAAAAGTCTATTTTCATTCTCTGTTGATCTGTACTTCTAAAGCCAAACATCTGTACTCGGATTTGTAAAGAAATGTAAGAGAAATTCAGTGGGAGCTAGGTCTCTAATTCCCTTAGGTAATTTTGATGTGTAAGAAAGGAGTAATATTTAGGGGGCAAATATAATGGATTCAGAGGTGATAAGGTTTATGTTGATTGGGAAAGAGGCGTAAGTGGCAAACTGATGGTAATGTGTGCTGAAGTGGGTGTGTAAAACAAGCATACCTTACATTGACTTGGTAATCTGTGTGGACCAAATTCAGCCCCAAGAGTAAATTGTTGCAGCTGCTGCTGAAATCAGTGGAATGTGACTTATTTCAAGGCTGAATTAAGCTTCAAAAATGTTGGAGATTGTATAGGCATAAGCTAAAGTGGGGGAGGGGCTACTGTGTTAATAGGGGGAGATCTTGTGCCCAGCAAGGGATTAGATGGTAGGGCTTTTCTGCCTGGTCTGTTAATGTGCAACAAGCCAGAATATAAATGTAGTGCTCTAGCTGGCCATCTGCTAAGTGGCCTTGTGAACTTTACCACTGTGCACTAAAAATTCCATTTAATTTTTCTAATTGGCAGTTCAAATCAACCAGACAGAGCACATTTTCATCATTTCAATTATGAACATTTCCTCTCATTTCTAGAATCATTCAGACCATTGGCATGCCAATTTATAATATTATTAGGAAACTTAAAGACCCCTTATTGTCCTTTTAACCTGTGCAATTCAATTTGTACTAGTCTTTCTGTCTTTATCTTGTATATATTTTTCTAAACTGTATTATATAGTGAGCAGAGTTTCACTTTTGTTACCTTGGACACCTTGCAATGTACAAAAAGGCCTACTTTGTTTCTCAGCCTCCTGTTAGTTTCTGTTGTTACTTTCCAATTTAGTTCTTTCAACTCCTGAGGCACAGGTGACAGTTGGTTTGGTTTATTTATTTTGAGGGGCGGAGTAGGGTAAATAACTAGAGATGGGGGGACATTGTGAAAAATGGTTTTCCTAACTTGTGCCTATATGCAAATCCAGAATGATGTGGGGTAAGTAATGGCAACATTACGGTCCAAAGCCCCAGCCTTTCATTAATGAAGACAATGGGAATTTTATCCTTGACTTTATTGAGGGAAGAAACAGGCATTGAGTGGGGAACTTTCTACTACAGAGTATGGCTGACCTCATAGTCAACACCTTCAAAATCTTGAAGTTGTACACAGTAATAATCAAGATCCGAGTAGTGTTATGTTAAGGTTTCTACTAACACATAGAATGGCGTGGTGGCTAATGGGAGGGACTCAAAGTAGGACACCAGCTAAAGGGGAGGATGTAACTTTGCCACATGACTCTTCCCGGCCTCGGCCTCATGCTTCTCCTTCCCCATCCCACATTTCCTCAGGAGGCAGGGGGCTCTGGCCAGAGACTTGTGAGCCGCAGGGATTTCTAGAACTGCAGGGGGTAAAAGGAGCAGAATGTAGGGCTGCCAGGCCTCCCCACACCAGCAGCTCCTCTGGCATGGCTAAACTGTCCCCAGCCCTTCCCACAGCTGTATCTCCCCAGGTCAGACCTAGAGACAGTACTGGTACAGCCACACTCCTGGGAGCTGCAGTCCTATGTTCTTCTCCTTTTGCTGCTGCTGTTCCCAGGAAAACCCTGAAGTTCAGAACTAAGCCATAGGGCTGTCCCAGGAACAGAAGTGATGAAAGGAGCAGAGAATGGAGCCGCTGGGCTACCCCATGCTGGTAGCTCCTCTACTGCAGCTGTTCCAGTACTGCTGCATCCCTCCTTCCGCCCCCAGCCCTGTCCTCTAGTGTGGCTGTACAGATGCCAGGAGATGCAGCTGCATGGAATGGCTGGAGGCAGTAAAGTCACACTGGAACTAGAGTTGCCAGATACTTTCACAAAAAATCCCAAACATAGCAGAGAAAAAATTGGTTGAGCAAAAAAAAAAAGAGAGACCAAATTTCCCCCCTGCTCTCCCCCGCCAGACGCCGCAGGCGAAAAATGTCCGGTATTTTCTCTTTCTTTTTTTAAACCGGACAGAAGATGCAATTACCGGACTGTCCGGGCGAAAACCAGTTACCTGGCAGCTCTAGTTGGAATAGCTGTCAGCAGCAGCCCCTTGTTCTGCTCCTTTTGCTGCTGTGGTTTTGGGGAGGGGCATGTGGCACTTCCTGCCCCTCCCATGAGTCACATGGTCCTTTCCTAAAAGAGTTCACAGTGCAAGGGTTAAATTCTTCTACCCTTACACTGAGTAGTATCTGGTTTTGTGACTAATCCCATATTTTTCAGTTAGTCTGTTTGTGGAGTAAGGGTACTACTCAATCTGAGTAGAGATGACAGAACTGGATCCTAAGAAATTAAATTACTTCAAGATTTAATTAATGTGTTTTAAATTATTAATCAATAGACACTCAAAATCTGCAGTTGAGAGGTAATGTTCTGGAGAGAAAACCAGGCAAGGCTTTACATTTATCTTCTATTGTTCTGCCAGCTATGTTGGGTAAGACACTGCTTTGTGAACCAGCTACATGTGATGAAGAAAGCATGCACAGCTGGCAGAAGGAGAGGGAATGGAAAGAAAAGGCAAGCCTTGCAGAGGGCGGGGAGAAGGAAAGGTAGGCCAAGACAGAGGTAGAGTTCTTGCTGAGGAGAGCAGGCTTAATGTAAGAGCAGGACAGCAATCCATATTCTTTGATCTACTGCAAACCAGGACTAAAAGGTCAACAATATAGGAGTGGCACCAAATTATAGAGCCTTTCTGCATTTCCTGGGCTGACACTGGATGGTTATGTTCAACCTATCCCAACTGTTTGCAATAGTCTCTGGAGTGTTATTGTTCTGATAACATTTTCATAGCCTTCCCCATGATAGCAAGTTTAGGAATGGAAACTGGGAGATGAGGCAGCTTCACTGATGATGCATGATAGCGAATGTTTTCCACAAACTATTCAATTATAAGCTAATTTTCTTCACAAAATTTTCAGAACTGTTTCATCCAAGTATAAGTATAGTTCATGTGATTTATTTTAGATAGGAGTCATTGTAGATGCCATTTGCTTTGGAAAGATGGTCCATCTGAACTGTCAACAGCATAATATTTTGTCATTTTACGCCACTCAAGCCACGTTTAAGAATATAGCAAATGTCAACATGTGTAAAATGTGTGGGGGTCTTTAAGTTAGGTATTAACTCAAGTCTGTTTGTATTTTAAACAGCAACTTGATTAAGGCTTCATGTTGTACCTGTAATGTTATGGCACTTTTCTAATTATTCCAGGCTGAACTGGATATTGAACAGCCTGTTATCTAAAGGTCAGAATAATGCCCAAGCCTGGACAAGCCCTGTGAGTGTCAGATTCGTGGAATGCAAGATGACTTCATAGTTATGAAATTATTTCATTTCTCATGATAATTCCTGACTTGCCAAGTTAGTGAATTTTAAGAACTCTGAGAGCAGATTGTGAGATAAATGTGAAATAATCCATACTTTTGGAGTCAGGGACTTCCCTCAAGGCATTAGTTCATACTTGACTTACTTGACTTACACTTGGGGATAACATGAGTTAGGACAAGGTCTTAGATACCACATTCTCTTACTGGGAAAGAAAACCAACTTGCACAACTTTGGATGGCTCATGTTTCTTGTTACACAGGCACTAAGCAGCAGCAGTTGCCATGAAATACTTTATTTAACCTTTGTAAAAATGTTTTTTTAATATGGCAAGGCAGTTCAGTTAAATGAAAATAAATAGTTTTAAAAGGCTTATATTACTTTTACATTCATACCAATAAAATTCCTTATTTTTCTTTTGCTAATTAAAAGTAGGAAGAGGTATCATAATTGGCTAGTCAAAATACTGAACAAAAATAATCAAAGTATATAAAACATGTTTAATATAGAGGCATAGATATAAAACATTGAAACTGTTTTGTTTTAGTTTTGAATGAATTTTACTGAATTAATGATGCTACAGCAGATTATAGTTTAAAAGCTTTTTAACCTTTGATATAGAAATATATAGGTATGGCATTTCAGATCATCAATTATTTGTGATTACTCTCAAAAGATTTGGCCATGATAACTAAGAAGGCTTATCTTAATGAATCTGAACATTCTGAGAAATCCTTCCTCCTTTCCATTTCTTCTCCTAGTCCCCAACTCCTCTACATTTCAGTCAACCTAACCCTTCCCTTCCTCTGCCCTTCTGTTTACTCTGAGTCCTACAAACCTTAAATATTTCATTAAAAAGTTTGTCTGAAACTCTTTCTGTTCCCACCAGTAATTTTCTTCAAATTTCATGAGTCTTTGACCTTTCTTGGGTCCAAGACATCCACTATTGTCCCCCTCTTACTTTGGGGAAGTCCAGAAATCATAAACATAGCCATAGTGTGTCAGACTAGTCTAGCCCAGTCTTTTCTCTTCTGACAGTGACCAGTGTCAAATGCTTCACAGAGAATGAACAGAACTGTGCAATTTTGAACGGAGAATTGGAGGGTTATGGCATTTGGAGGACACAGTAATATTGGCTAATAGCTATTGATGGACTTATTCTCCATGAACTTAACTAAATCTTTTTTGAATCTGGTTATACTTTTGA